TGGCTCTCCACTCAGGAATTACTACTGCAATGCTTGGGGGACCATATGGGATGCCAAAGATCGAACCTGGGTCAGTCGTGTGCAAGGTAAATGCCCTACCTGCTGTACTATCATTCCAGCCCCTCAAGATGAATTTTAGAAGCTTCATCTGATAATTACAAATTTCCTGGCACGGGGCCAGAGTGATAGTACAGTAGGTGGAGTGCTTGCCTTGCACATGGTTGACCTGAGTTTATACCCTAGCACCCCATGAGACCCCCCCACCCCAAGATCACCAGGAGGTGATCCTTGAGCTTAGAGCCAGGAGTAAGCCCTGAGTACCACCAGATATGGCCCCTAAACAAAAAATTTTCCTGGTATTTTGAAATTTACTGAAATTTTAATTAATATAAAAATTGAACTTTCCAGGGTAAGTATGTTATGTTCTTTATTAACATCTGGTTTTTGTACTTCGCAGAATTTGACAGATTTATATAATTAATCTTGCAAATTTCTTGTAAGGTTTAAATAAAGGATGTTTAGAGGATCCTCCCAGGAGGGGAGATGCATGTCGAAAGTAGACTATGGACTGAACATGTTTGCCACTCAATGCCTCTTTTGCAGACCACAACACCCAAAAGGAGAGAGAGAACACAGGGGATTGCCCTGCCACAGAGACAGGGGGGATGGGGGGATGGGGGTGGGAGGGATATTATCCATGGTGGTGGAAAATGGGCACTGGTGGAGGGATGGGTATCTGATCATTGTATAATTGAAACCAAAGCACAAAAAATTATAAATTTACAACTGTAAAAAAAATAAAATAAAATAAAATAAAGGGGAAAAAATTTTATCAGAATAAAATTGCATTATAACAAAAAAAAATTTCTTGTAAGGTTTATTAGCAATAGCACAGTGGGTAGGGTGTTTGCCTTGCATGTGGCCGATTCGGGTTTGATTCCTGTGTCCCTCTTGGAGAGCCCCAGAGAGCATCCCGCCCACATGGCAGAACCCGGTAAGCTCCCCGTGGTGTAATCATCATGCCAGAAACAATAACAAGTCTCAAAATGAAGACATTACTTGTGCCCCGTCAAGCAAATCGATGAACAATGGGAGGACAGTGCTACAGTGCTACTAACTTCATAGCTATTCAAGATTTTTTCTGCCATTTTGGGGGGGTATAGTGACCACTATAAATATATAGCAATAGCACAACGGGTAGGGCGTTTGCCTTGCACATGGCCAACTTGGCCAACCCGAGTTCGATTCCTCCGCCCCTCTCGGAGAGCCAGGCAAGCTAACGAGAGTATCTCGCCCGCATGGCAAAGCCTGGCAAGCTCCCCGTGACGTATTCGATATGCCAAACACAGTAACAACAAGTCTCACAATGAAGACGTTACTGGGCCTGCTCGAGCAAATTGATGAACAGCGGGAGGACCATGCTTTTACCAAGTTAACGAATTTATGCTATTAAGGCGTTTGCCTTGTGTGTGGCCGGCCCAGCCGAGCAGGGTTCAATTTCCCCGCCCCTCTCGGAGAGTCCAGCAAGTTACCGAGAGTATCTCACCCACATAGCAAAGCCTGGCAAGCTCCCCGTGACGTATTCAATATGCCAAACACAGTAACAAGAAGTCTCACAATGGAGACGTTACTGGGCCTGCTCGAGCAAATTGATGAACAACGGGAGGACAGTGCTACAGTGCTGTACTATCGCTCCGGCCTCCAATTTTTTTTTTTAATAGCTCCACCCTCAGGTGGACCCTACAAAGGTTCATGTCTGGCACCTGAGTCAGGGCTCACTCAGGACCTGTCCTGTCATCTAGGATGACTGTAGTCTCCACTTTTTCTCTGCCAGATCATAGGCCCAAGTCCTAAGATAAACCTTGCGCAGGAGGAGGAAGTCCTGCGGCTCCTGGTGAGATCTTGCTCCTGGGGTAGGATGAAAATTTTATTCCATTTTTGTTCTTTAAAAAAGAAATGGGGGGACACAACCTGAAATGCTCAGAGGCCACTCCTCATAGTGCTGGGGAGAATGGGTAGTAAGCTATGGGTGCCAGGAATCATACCCAAGCCTCCCACATGCAAAGCATGCACTCTGGCCGGCTTTGGGGTTATTTCCCTATCCTCCAATTCATTTTTTTTAAATTGAGTCACCGTGAGATACACAGTTACAAAGCTGTTCATGATCAGGCTTCAGTCATGCACATCCCACCCCTCCACCAGTGCACCTACCCACCACCAATGACCAGTTTCCCTCCCATCAGCCCCCACCCCCAGACTGCCTCTATGGCAGACACTTTTCTTCTTTCTCTCTCTCCCTCCAATTCATTTCAACTTGCTTGCTCACTGGTACTTTGAGAGGGGAAAATATGTATTTTTTATTTTTTAATTATTATTTTCAGGGGTGTGGGCACACCCAGAAGCATGAGCTTATTCCTGGCTCTGTTCTCAGGGATCCCTCCTGGAGGTTCTGGGAGACCACAGCGATGTCGGGGATATAACTGGGGTTAGCCACAGGTGAGGCAAGCACTTTTGCAGCTGTACTATCTCCCAGCGCCTACAGAGGAAAGTTTAAAGTGTACGGGTTGTGTCCCGAAGTGAGTCACTTAGGGAGAACTAGGTGTTCCTACCTTTCTTGGTGAAGGCATTTTGCAGTGGGGCGTGGAATATGAGGTTCAGAGCAGGGACTGATGGCATGCCCTGCTGGAAAGCAGATTTGGGCAAACAAGTTTTAGGCAGAAAAGTAATCTGCCGACCCCTCTCCTAACCCACCAGTGAATTGTTAAAAAGTTGTAGGGGTTACAAGTTGTTTCAAAGGATCAGGATTTGGGACTGGAGACATCATCCCCAGTACCCCATAAGGTCCCGTGAGCACCACCAGGAACAATTCCTGAGGGCAGAGTCAGGAGTAATCCTTGAACACGGCTGGGTGTGACCCAAAACCCAAACAAAAAGCAAAAGATTAAGCTTTGAATCCTGGGCATGGGGGTGGGGGATGTTTAAGCAAACTGATCTCTATTTCCCCAGTAGTTTAATGGGGTGGGGGTTTGGTAGGGAGGGTGATATGGAATCTATTTGTGTGCAGATGAAATGAGACCTAGGGCTCAGACTTTTAATTAAACCGAGAGGCCCTGGGTTTAATTCAGGCACAATAAAATAATTCAAACAAGGGGACCAAATGGAGCCTTCATATTGACTGCAGGAGAGGGTTTGTCTGCCCCAACACGGGCCCAGGGATCTAAAGATTTACTGTGTACAAGGGGTCTTTATGAATAAGGCAAAGTGTCCACCTGCAAGGAGCTCCCAGCAGAGGAGGGGCAGACACGGGGGTGTGGGGGGGTGGGGTGACCAGGATGAGAACCCAGCTTTACCACTCACCAGCTGGCTGGCGCAGGACCAGCTCTACTCTTTGCCCTCATTTCCCAAAGTCAACTGAACACCTCCACCCCCCCACCTTCATAGGGTGCTGGGGAGTACATTAACAGGCACCTACAAAGTGTAGAGAAGGGGGCCACCTGAGATGCACATAAGTTCAGTCTGCAGAATGTGAAAATAGCAAGACAAGGAGTCTCAGCAGTGGTCCCAGACATAAGAGGTTGTGCTGGATTCTGGCTCTGCGGGCTGCATATGCAGGGAAGGGAGGGGAGCCCTGGAGCCGGAGAAGAAGCCAAGTGGCAGCCTTGCGTAAGGAGCTGGGGTTTGGGGAGTTACAGACAGCGCCGCAAAGAGCAGGTTTGCAGCTTGAAAGGGTCCCCTTTGTCCCTGGGACAAACGTGGCAACCCCCACCCTGAGTCTCCCTGAGACTCCTGGTCTTTCCTGGTTGAACCCTCTCATCTTCACTCCTTCCTGGAACACGCCACTGCCAGATTATGCCCAAACACTGCACTGGTTGGTATTCTTCAAGGAAAGGAACAACAGGGAGATTTAGGAAGTAAGACCCAAGCCTGGTTGGGGGGGGGGGGTGCTTACCTGTTTCCCCCCACCCCAACACACACTACCCCTTTGTGACCCCTTGAGTCATGGGTGCCCAGGTTTGAACTTTGCCCAAGTTCTCCAAAGTGTTGAGAACACTTAGCGTTGGTAAAGGGTCCCGGGCAATGCTCAGTTCTTAGTACGTTCTAGTACGTAAGGGTCAGTCACCTCCCTCCTCAGCTCCAGGACGGGAGGGGACAAGGGACATGTGGCCCGCCACGGGCTCAGAGGAAGCGGAGAAAGGAGATTCTTCTTCACTTACAGCCCCACTTGCAAAGAGCCGAACGGTGTTGACCGAGCAGGGGTGTGGCCCTCCCTCTCACGGCGATCCTTCACAGGTTACAGAAGCAGTAACCCGGGAAGGGTCCCCAAGGGCCCGGGCGGGGCGCAGGGACTCCGCCTGGAGGGCACAGGGCACCTAGCTACGCGCACGGGGGAGAGGAACAGAGGGACTGCCCTTCCCGTGCCGGCTCGGCCGGGCCCGACCCCCGGGCTCGGAGCGGTGAACTTCAGAGCCGGAGGCGGGGCGCATCTCCGCAAAGCTGCGGGACCCGAGCCCCGCCGGCAGAAGGCACTTGGGAAAGTGCTCGGCGCCGGCACTTGTGGGCGGGGACCCTCCCGGGGAGACCCTGGGCCGCAAGGAGGGGGCGGCCCCGCCACGTCCGCCCGAGGGCCGAGCCGCGTCCCGACCCTCTCGTCCCCGCGGGCCCGAGCCCACCCTCGCGCGCTCCGCCCGAGCCTCCGGGGCAGCAGCCAGGAGGCGTGGCCTGCGGGCGGCCCGCCCCTTTGATGTGCGCCGGCGCCGCGCTTGATTGGCCGGTCGCTTGTGACGTGCGGGGACTGCGGTGGGCCCGGGTGCTGCGGCAGCCGCAGCGCCAGCCGCGGCTCGGGCTCCGGCTCCCGGGCATTTAAAGGGGACGCGGCGGCAGCCCGGGGGGGATGGGGGCAGGTGGAGGGGACGGGCCAGACGCACATCATCCGAGGCCCCTCGGCACCGGACGGATTCGTGAGCTGGGACCCAGAAATCCGGGGGCGGACAAGACACCGCGTCCCCTCCGATTCCCGTAAGCACCCCTTGCTCCATCCTGCGCCCAGATACCTCAGCCAGCCCCTCTCCCCACTCTTTACGTTCCAAACTCGGCCGGGACAGACCTCTGCCGCCGCCGCTCTCTCCGTGAGTTCCAGGGCACCCGGAGGAAGGGGAGGACCAGGGGGTCCCAATGTGGGGTGGGGGCCGCGTGGAGTTGGAGCGCGCTCCTTCGCGCGCGGTGCCGGTGGGGGAGTCCCCGGAGCGGAGGAGTGAGTCCCCTGCTGCTGCCCCACGGACGCGGTGCCCGGGTAGACCCCCGTCCGGGATTCAGGTGAAGAGAAGCGATCGAGGTCCCCTGCTCCCCTCCACCCACGAGTCCTTCTGACTCCCCGAACTGCGCACCCCCCCACCCCCCGCCCCGCATTGGGAAGCACCCGCCAGCTGGGGGTGTGCCAGAGTGCCTGCTTTCCAGCCACCTCTAAAAATATCTCTCCCCCCACTTCACCGGCAGCTGCCACCTCCCTGCCCAGCGAGGATCCCCGACCCAGCTTGTCCACCCCGGCAGGGCCGGCCCAAAGAGGGCGCCGTGTGGCTTACCGAGGTGCCAGGTCTAAGGAGTCCAAAGGGGTCTCCAAAGCGACAGGGAAAGTTCTGGCTCTGATTTTCCCAGAGACACCAGAGACCCCTAAATACTAATCCCGACAGGGTGCTGTGTGACCCCATCATGTTAGCTTGACCTTTCTGGGCCTGCTTTTCCTATTTGCTGCTGGCAGTGAGGACCAAGGAGCATTTTTTTAGGGGAGGTGGGGGAGGGAGCTTTGCAGCTTGGGAGGTTAAATCTGATGTCCAGTGATTGACAGGAGAGACCTGGTCTGGGTCTGAGACTATGATTTCTCTGAGATCATCCCCAACCTCCACCCCCCCATCCTGCATAGTTCCTGTCAGAAACTGTCCCCAAACTGTCATCTGTGCGCATCCATCCTTGAAGAAGGCCTATGCCCAGGGGACTGGAGAGATTGTGCCGCAGGCAGAGTGCTTGCCTTGCATGCTGCCAACCCAGGTTTGATTCCCGGCACCCTGAGTGCACTGCCAGCCCTGGCACCGAGCCAGAAGTAATCCCTGAGCACTGCTGGGTGTGGCTTAGAAACTCAAACAAGACAGTCTATGCCCAAATGCTTCCTACTTCCCCAAAGGTATCACATCCCCAAGATGGAAGAGGAGAGCCCTGGCATAGACAGGAGGGCAGGAAAGGGAACGGGGAGGAGTGTGATTTGGGGAGGTGGGTCCCCCTAAGTTGGGCAAGTACACAGGCTCCTGCCGTGCTGAAGAAGCCCTCACTTCCAGCCTGCAGAAGCTCAGGCACCCCATTCCCTCTTCTCCCACAGACTCTGCTCTCCACGGAAGGCTCTGACCACAGAAGGCTCAGAGGTGAGTAGTCTTTTAGAATAGGTTCCACGGAGGCCCTGGGAACTCTCTGGCTATGGGCACTGGGGGTGGGGGGTGCCAAGGGGGAGGTGTATGTGTTGAGTGTTCCAGTCTGGCTCTTTCAGTGTAAGGGCAGAGAACCCCAGGACACTTGGCTTTCTTCTCTGGGGACAAAAAAAAAATGGGAAACTCACCAAACAATACATGTTTGATGTCCTCAAATGCTATTATTAGGAGGGGGAGGGAGGTGAGTGACTAGTCTTTGACTATGAAAAGTGAGAAGTTTTGAGCAGGATTGAAAAGCAAGTGAATATTCCACCGGATTCCAGAGTCATCAGGCAGAGCAGTGATATGGGGACCCTTGGTGGCTGCTGGACTCCTGCTGTCTGTCTGTCTGTCTGCTCCTGGCCTCTCTGGTGCCCGTGGCTGTGCGGCTCTATCCGTGTTTGCTTTTACAGCGGGAGTGGCATCCCTGACCTTTCCCCTCCGGCTCACCCAGCTCTGGGCAGATATGTGATATCATCCGGGATACTGGAAGGTGTACCTTCCACCCTAGGAGGGCATGGGGACAACCCTCCCATCCCCCCCAGCCTCCCTGCTATTGCCACCTCCTCTCCATCCTCCCTCCCCTTCTCCCCCTTTCTCCCCCATCACCCTTCTCCTCATTTGGCTTTTGCCCCCTTGACGCCTCTCAACTCCACCAACAAAAGTTCTTTCAGAAAAGGCTGAGACCCATGGCCTTTCTGGGGAAGGGTGTATTGTGGTTAGGGAGTGGGGAAAGGTGGCAGCCTAAGGATGATGACACAGCCAAATACCCCCCCTCCTTCCGGCCATGTCCTGCCCCTGGGGTGACCCAACCTCTTCCTTGGGGACAGCAGGCTCTCCTTGCTGTCCTGGGATGGTCTGGAGAGTCACCTTGACAAGGCAGGGGCTTCCTGTGTCACACGTTGTCACCACCAGAGGGCAGAAGCTAGCCAGACCTTTGCTCTCTTAGCTGTCCAGTCCTGGGAATTAGTATCTGTCCCCAGCTGTCCCAGCCACCTCTGATGGCTCATTCCACCTCAGGGTGGAGTGGGGTGGAGTCCTTGTAGCTGTCCCGGTGAAGGTCCCACGAAGTCACATCCTGACGTTCTAGAAGCTCTGTAGCGAAGTCCTGAAGTTTCCACCCAGCTCCTGCTCCAGCTGGCCTCTAGTCCTGGGGCTAGGGGCACTGTTCGGGAACACCCAGGCACCCCATCCCCCAGCTGCAGCTTGTCATTGGCCAGGGGAGACAAGGCTGTGTCCCTGGCACTCAGGAACCTCATTCTGCCTCGCAGCAACAACAGCCCAGGGCAAGTGACTGACCTCCCAGAGCCCTTCCCCTGTGCGCCAACATGTGAGCCAACATGCACACATGTGAGCCAACATGCACACAGGTGGTTTGTGAGCCGTGGGGTGGCATGCCACGAAAGGTGCAGCGTCAGATAAACCACTCCAGGGGGTGGGCCCCAAGGGCTTTCCTGCCCCTCAGTGCTTGCTGTTGAGCAAGTCTGCATGTCGCCCTGGGCCTTCAATCGTTCACCCGTAATGGCCCCAGGGCTGGGGGTCAGGATGCCCATGGCAAGGGCCTGTGGTCAGCGAGTGCTCTGCCTACTCAGGGGTAATCTTTCCTGAACCCATAAGTGGTTCTCAGCAGTGGGGATGGAGCCAGTGGGCATCAGTGGGAGGCGCTGCCCAGGGCCTCCTTCAATGGCCCTTGTGTGGTTGTCAGGCGCTCAGGACGACGACTGCAGGCAAGAGGGGCCTCTAGGTGGTGCCAGGTGATGTGCCGCGATGAGCGGGTGTTTTCCAGTTGCCAGCATGCGGTGCCTGTCTAGGGTAAGTGGGTTCCTCCAGAGGTCCCTTGGGGTGAAGTCTTTGCCCCACCTCCACTTTCTGTCCATGGGTGGGAAGAGCCCCATCCAGCCCTTGGTAGGTTTTCCCTCACTTTCTCTGGAGCCCCACTCATCCCCAGAAGCTGCCATCACCCCAGTGTAGGAGTCCTGAAATCCCCCCCACCCCCAACTCCAGAGTCCCTGGGTCACAGGTGGGTGTTGACACCAGAGCAGAGGTGGAGGGGACAGTTGGGGCAGGGATGCCCCAAGTCTGGCTCCAATCCCCGCTCTGACGTCAGGACCTGGGGTCAGTCTGGTCAGGTGTGGGCACTGGAGGCTTTCAGGTGTTCGCGAGGGCATTAGGGAGTAACCGAGTGGTAGGGCAGGCCTGGAGGGGAAGACGTATGGCCCGCACTGGTGACAGACAGGACAGAGATGGCATGCTGCTTGCCCGGCTCTGTCGGTGACCTCCTGCGATCTTGGTTCGCCTTTTCCTGTGCCCTCACACTCGCCCCTCAGGCCCTCCATCTTCTACGTGACTGTACCTACAGCTGTCCCCAGAGTGCCCAAGTGCACTGTCTCTCCGGATCCAACTGGTCTCCCTGCCTTCCTACCCAGTCTGACTTCCGCCTGGCCCCTTCCTTCATGCCTCCCTTCCTTTCCCCACCTCTGCCTTTTCTGTCACACCGCTTTCTCCTCTCCCTTACCTGTCTCCCAGGTATGTCGCAGCCTGGCGTGGGAGGCTCCTTCCTTCCCAAGTCCCTCTGCTTCTGCTGCCTGCCTGCTTCGGACCCTGGTAGAAACCCCACCCGCTGACACCCTCCTGGGGAATTGGCAAGTGATGAGTGGTAGCTGTCAGCTCAGGGTCCTCCAACCTCGTCCTCCCCCGGGACCCCTGTCCAGTGCCATCTGGATGGAAACAGCTCCCAGAAGCCTTACGGGGTCTCTCCTGTCCGGTGCACTCACCTGGTTAATGATGCACTGAAGACCAGTTGGCCACCACCATCACCCACGGGTGGTGGGAGCCCCCTCTCCCAAGATCTCAGGACCTGGCACCCATTGTGCAGGCCGTGGTGGGTGCAAGCCAGGCTCTCCCCCACCCTGGTGCCAGCCATGGGCTCTGCTCTGCCACATGCCCACCAGCCCCAGGGTCCCTGGCAGGCTCCCCAAGGGGGTAATCCCTGGGGGGGGGGGACAGCTCCTGCTGCTTCGTGCTCCCTTCCACGGTCCAGGGTGACGACAGCAGGAACAGGCGCCCAGGAAGCCCCTCGGGATCAGGGGACTGTCCTGCGAGGGCTGGGGCGGCGGCGGGGGCAGCGGCCGCGCGGTTCTCCTCCCGGCTTAACCAGCCTTGGGTCCTTCCCAGGTCTTGGAAGCGCCAGCGCCTCTGGCCCGCTAACCAGCCTCTCCCGGGCCGGCTCCCGCCGCGCCCCCTCTCGCTTGCCCCCTCCTCCTCCTCCTCCTCCTCCTCCTGGTCCTCTCCCCGCTCCCAGGACGGCGGGATGGCGGCGCAGGGCTCGCCGCGCTTCCTCCTCACCTTCGACTTCGACGAGACGATCGTGGACGAGAACAGCGACGACTCGATCGTGCGCGCCGCGCCGGGCCAGCGGCTGCCCGAGAGCCTGCGCGCCACCTACCGCGAGGGCTTCTACAACGAGTACATGCAGCGCGTCTTCAAGTACCTGGGCGAGCAGGGGGTGCGGCCGCGGGACCTGCGCGCCGTCTACGAGGCCATCCCCCTGACGCCGGGCATGGGGGACCTGCTGCAGTTCGTCGCCAAGCAGGGCTCGAGCTTCGAGGTGATCCTCATCTCGGATGCCAACACCTTCGGCGTGGAGAGCGCGCTGCGCGCCGCCGGCCACCACGGCCTGTTCCGCCGCATCCTCAGCAACCCGTCGGGGCCCGACGCGCGGGGGCTGCTGACGCTGCGGCCCTTCCACTCGCACAGCTGCGCGCGCTGCCCCGCCAACATGTGCAAGCACAAGGTGCTCGGCGACTACCTGCGCGAGCGCGCCCACGACGGCGTGCACTTCGAGCGCCTCTTTTACGTGGGCGACGGCGCCAACGACTTCTGCCCCATGGGGCTGCTGGCGGCCGGCGACGTGGCCTTCCCGCGCCGGGGCTACCCCATGCACCGCCTCATCCAGGAGGCGCAGAAGGCCGAGCCCAGCTCCTTCCGCGCCCACGTGGTGCCCTGGGAGACGGCCGCCGACGTGCGCCAGCATCTGCAGCAGGTGCTGAAGTCGAGCTGAGGACGCGGCGGCCTGCGGGGGGCGCCCGGGCCCCGGGCGGAGGCGGAGTGGAGGGTGGAGGAGATCGGGAAAGACAAACCTAGTTTTACGACTCCCTTTTCCCTTTTCGCTGTGGTCTGCCCCTCCCTCCGGGTACTCGAGGAATTCCGGGCTCGTACGTGTGGGGGTGGGGCGGGGGAGGGGGAGGGAGGAGCGAGTTCCGAGCAGCCCCTATCTATGCAGTTACCCCCCCCACTCGGCTGCCTCCCTCCCTCGCCTGCGTCGGGTCCCACCGACGTGGTGCGCGGCCCTGGAAAGGCCTCACTGTTTTCCAAAACCGGGTCCGCAGAGGCGGCGGACGGCGCACCCTCGCCCAGGGGAGGGGGGCGCGGCTCCCCCAGCTCTCACTGCACCCCGCAGAACAGCCCACCCCCAGCCGCCGCCTCAAGAGGACCCGGGTCTCTAAACGGAGACGAGGCTGTCAGTCCACGGCCGCAGACCTAGCTCATTTCACCTATCGAGGTTCCTCCCCCTACGATTCCCCCTTTCTTGCCCTCGTCCTCCCGCGCCCCCCGGAGGAAAAAGCCAGAGGGAGCCGTCGCCTCCTGGTGGTGGAACGAGGTAGCACATGGCCGGGCTTGGGTCCCACCAGTCACGGGCCTCCCAAACGCATCTGTCTCCTCGCACCCCAGCCTCGTCTATGCACCACGAGGCCCACCGGGCACTTGACCAAAGTCGCTCCATCCGGCTGGGCACGCCCCCACCCCCACCCCGCGTCCCCTACTCCCGTATGGAACAGAAAGCCATGTTTTAAAGCAGAGCCAGCGCAACCCAAGCCCCTCCTCCGTCTTCGGTGTTTTAAGAGCTATAAAGGAGGTGAAGGGGGACGAGGTGCCTGCGATCTCTCCGCGCCGCAACCTGAGGGGTGGCGGGAGGTGGTCTCCAGGTCCTCACTCCTGGAGAAGCGCCTGAGCAGAGGCGCCGGGACTGACCCGATCCCATGCCACAGGCTGCTCAGGCGTACTTGGGGTCTGGGGTGCAGCTAGAGGGCGCTGAAGGATGGTCTTGAGCCATGAGCCCTCCCAGCCTGGGAAGAGGGGCTACCTCCCTCCTCTCGGACTCCGTGCAGGGCGCTCAGATCATCCTTTTTATTCAGAGTTGGCATGGGCTGGACACGGAACTCATTCGGCTGCACTGCATGCTTTGCATGCAGGTTTGATCCCTCAGCATCACAAGGTGTGGCCCCAAAAGTAGGAATTTCAAAAGCTAGAGGCCCTCCCTCTGGCCTGAGACTTGGGGCTCCTTTGTCACAAAGGATGACCAAGCTCCTTGGGTCCAGGTTCTTTCTGTCATAGTAGCCCCTCCAGTTAGCATATTTTGTCTCCAAGGGCTGCTTCCCGCCAAAACGGGGGGCAGGTGGGCAGGCCAGGTCCAGCTCTGGCTTTGGAGCTGGCTTTGGAGTGGGGGGTAGAGCCTGGGTCGGCAGTCAGCAGCTGGGCTCCACGTAGTTCCCAGGGAAGAATCCAGTTCCCTCGGAGCTGACGCCCTCACACCAGCCGTCAGAGTACCGGCGGGTGATGCAGATGACGGTCCCCTCTGAGAAGGAGAGCTCGTTGTCCTTCTGACGGGTGTATGGGTACAGTGTCACCACTGCAGGGTGGAAAGAGAGGGGGTGTGAGAGGCAGCCGGGTAGAAAGTGTCTTGACTTTCTAGTTCTAGCAGTTAATGCTAAGGCAGTGTCTCTGAAGGCTCCCGGGTGAACGTTTGCTCAACTCATCAGGAAATGTGTGTATGGGGGGGGGGGGGGGGAAGAGGGATGAGATTGTTGGTTGACTTCTGGAGTGGGGGCGCCCGGGTCCACCCCCAGAACCAAGTACCTTTCTCCAAGTACGATTCTGGGACCCAGCTGGGCTCTTCATTCTCAAAGCCTGGTGGGGGTGGAGGCAGCAGCTCAAATCCATCAGCATCCAGGGCCGGGGGTGGAGGCAGGTCCAGAGGCGGGGGCAGTTCCAAGGCTAGGGGAGAGCGGAAAGGCTGCCGCGGGGCACCAAGAAGACCCCCCCCCGCCCCCGCACTCACCCCTGGTGGATGTCAAAGGACAGCACCCCGCCACCACCACCGTCACATAATGCGATTCTTCCCAGCCCCGCGGTTCCCTTCCGCCCCTCCCGCCCGGCCTCCAGCACGCAGGCGCCCAGTTGAGCAGGTCTGGCCGCGCCCTGCAGGAAGTCAGGATCTGACCCTCCCAAGCCGGGACGTGGTCACTTAACCTCTTCTCGGCCCCCCGGGGTGGGGGGGGGGCGCGGGCGGCTCTCAAAAAGCTCCTCTTGGGGCGGTTAGAGAAGATGGGATTGGAGCTTGGAAGCCCGCGAGCTGTCTGCCGCCTCCCCCCGCGGTCAGCGCGGCTCCTACCTGGCGGGGCGACTGCAGCGGCGGGCGGCGGGCAGGCGGGGGGCGGTGGCGGTGGTGGCGGCGGGGCTGCGGCGCCGGGCAGCGGGGGCGCTGGAGGTGACGCCTGGACCCTGGCCGGGAGGACCCCGCCGTCGGCGCTGCTGAGATGCGAGAGAGCCGAGGGAGCGGCGCTCAGCGGGGTCCTGGGGAGCCCCGCACCCCCTCCCCCGTCCCCGCACCCGCACCTGGGGCTGGGCTTACCCGACGGACGCCAGGGACGAGGCCGAGGAGGCGGCCGAGAGTTTGCCGTCGGGCACCACGGGGGGCTGCACCCGCTCGGGGATTCGGGGTGCCCTCCTGGGGGGGGACGGACAAGGGGTGTTGGGGGCTGGAGCAAGGCAGAGGTCGGGGCCCGGGCACGGGGCGCTGGGGAGGTGAGCGTTGGGAGGGGGGTGGTCTATGGGATGGTGGGGGTGGGCTGGCCACGAAGCCTCACCCCAGCGTGGCGGAGGCGGGTGCGGCGGGTGCCTTGATGCTCTTGCGAGACAGGGTCCCGGTCCGCGACAGCTGCGTGCTCAGATCCTGCGGGGGGCGGGGGGAAAGCAGGGGATGGGACTGACATCTATGGGGGACCCCAGGATCACCACCGCCAGGGTCCCCTTGGGAGGGGGGAGAGGGGCAAAGGGAGGCGAGAAGTGGGAGGCAGAGCCCGCCCTGCAAGTTCCCACTTTCACACCCCGGCCCCCTTCCCCCATCCGCTCTTGCTCACAGCCTCGCTCTGGGCACCGAGTCCGCAGCCCCACGGAAACCTCCAAGTGCAGACACCGTCTCGCGTCCACTTCCTCTGTTTACCTCCGCGGCTGCAGGCCCCACCCCTTTCCCCAGACACTGTAGACCCCTGCCCCGCCCCATCCCCCCTCAGAGCGGGAGCCTTGGTTCCCAACGCAAAGGAGACCTCAGCCCCAGCGCCAACTGAGCTGGGAGTAGGGAAAGTGAAACCGGTCAACACCTTGGGGTGCCCTACTGGTCCTTTCCACACCTGTGGAACTGGCTTTGGGGAGCTCAGGGCAAAGTTTAGAGAGTGCAAATGACTTGGGGTGCAGCCCCACCTGCAGTGAGCCCCAGCCCCCATGGGTGTAGGGGAAAGGTGTCCTCTGAGAAACTTGCCTAAGACTAACTGAAGGGGCTTGAAGGACTGAAGCTGGACCTGCAGGGAAAGATGAGAATAGCTGACAGATGGTGAGACTCAGCGATTGAAGCAGGGAGTGTTAGGATGCTGTGGGGGTCGCTGACATGGGGGGGGGCTTTCATCTGGTCTGGGCCGTGAAAGTGTGGAGACAAGGAATTGACTAGAGGCGCGTGTCCACCTTCCCCCACTTTTCAGGAGCTGGACCAAGAGGACAGGGGGAAATGCTAGTCATGCCTCTTTCCTCCTGTCCCCTTCCAGTGCCTGCATCACCTCCCTTCTCCCGAGCAACGGCTTCTCCTCGGGGTGACTGCTCCGTGCATTGACCTCAAACCTCCAGACAGAGGAAGTTGCTGTTCACATGTGGCTGGGGAGAAGTTCTCATGCATACCCGACACCCTCTCTCCTCCCTCTTCCCCTTCCTTCCACACACCCAGCACCCATGGCGGGGGAGGGCTAGTACGTGGAGGCTAGGCTCAGCAGCCAGTCACAATCTCTGGGAGAGGCCAGTTAGGCGGTGGTTTGTGAAGGACATTCATTTATATGGGGCCAGGGATGGGGCCAGGGCCTCATACATGCAAGGCAAGGGACCAGAGAGACGGGACGGTGGGTAAGGTGCTTATCTTGCTGGCGGCTGGCCCGGGTTCAAACCCCACCCATCATCCCATATAGTTCCCCAAGCACCACCAGGAGTGATTCCTGAGCGTAGAGTCAGGAGTTAGAGGGTGTGGGAGCACAACTGGGTGTGGCACGAAAATTGAAAACACAAGCAAGGCAACTGCTCTACTACTGAGCAGCATCTCTGACCCTTCAGGGATTTCTTTTCTTTTCTTTCTTTTTTTTTGTGTGTGTATGGAGGGTGTTGGACCACAGTTGATAATACTCAAGACTACCAAATAGTATTCAAGGCTTATTTTTTTGACTGTGCTCAGGGATTCAGGGATCACTCCTGATGGGGCTCAGGACCAAACGCAGTGTGGGGGAATAGAACCAGGGTTCTATTCCCCCACACTGCTGCATGTATGGTAAGGTCTTAACTCTTATATTACATCTCCAGCTCCACCATGAAGGATTTTTTAAAAAGTGTGTGTGGGGGGGGGGGGGGGGGGAACAGAGTGATAGCACAACAGGTAGGGCATTTGCCTGAGGCTGACCTGGGTTCAACCCCTGGTACGCCACATCATCTCCCAAGCGTGGTCAGGAGTGATCCCTGAGTGCAAAACCAGGAGGAAGCCCCGAGCACTGCCGGCTGAAGCTCCAAAACAAAAAGCCAAACCAAAATAAGTGGGGAGGAGGAGTTCTCTAAGGACTTGCTTGGCGGTGTAGAGGGATTTAGGGTGATAACTTTAGGGAGTAAGCAAAGAAAGGAATTGCTTGCAGGTGACACAAGAGAACTGAGGGCCAGGAGAGGAAGAAACCACGACGGGGGAAGGGTGAGTATGGGAGGAAGAAGAGAAGAGCTGTCCTGGTCTTCTACCTTGATCCCGTGGCCAATGTCATCCAGGCAGCCAAAGTTGAGAGGTTTCCTGTAATAGGGTGTGAGGGGAGGCAGGCTTTCAGGCGCAATGATTTTCTGGCCAGGGGGCAGCCGCTGGACCATCGCTAAGGTACCGATCTCCCTGCGGGCCACTTTGTCCTTATGTATGCTCACCATCTGCAAAACAGGGTTTGAGATTGTGGGGCCACTGCCCCTTCAGGGAAGAGTGGTTAAGTGACTTTGAGGGTGGGGCAAGGGACCAGGGGAGACTGTGAGGATCAGAGAAAAAGAATTTTGTCCCCAGGGCCACATAGCATTTGGCAAAAAAAAAAAAAAGGTAACAGGGGAAGGATGGAGCCACTTTGGAGCAACTTCCTGGTGGGAGAGAATGAGGGTTATTATTAGCTGAGCGGGAACCAACGGAAAAGAGAAAACAGGATTGCTGGGGTTGCTGGGAAAGCATTGGAGCACCAGGTTGGCCAGGGGGCAGCCAGGGAAACTGGGGAGGGGGTACAGGGGGGTGGGGCTGGATTTTCAGGGAGAGGAAAGTGAATTAATTCCTCTGGGGACGTTCGAGTTCTCCATCAAAACACCAGCTTAGGCGGGGCAAGACTCCAGGCGGGGGTGACACGGAAGGACACGCCTGTGGCAAGCACATGGGTGATGCGTGGGCTCAGCACATGTGACTCGTGGGGCCATTCCTCTGCCAAGGATCCAGGAAGGAAGAAGGAGGGTGTGTGTATGTGTGTGTGTGTGTGTGCATGCGCACAGAAGGTGGGGGGCACTGTGGGGTGGCAGTGTCCCTCCACCCCAGGACTAAAGATGACCTTGCCAAGCAGCCCTGATGGGGCCATGTTATTGAGTTGCTGCCTGTGTTTGCAAGGAAACAGGCTCCAGCCAGTTTTCATTATTTATTTTGAGGGGCCCCACCTGGCAGTGACTGGGAGCCATGGCAGAGCTGGGGATTGAACTCGGGGTCCCCACACACATTAGGCTGGGTATGTGCTCTGTCCCTTACCCCTCTCGCCGGCCTGAATGTGTTTTGGTGTTCCGTTTTTCACTTTTGTGATGTTGGGGATTGAACCCAGTTCTCTTGTCTGCCACTCACATGCTTTAGTATTTAGTTTTTGAGCCATACCCTGCAGGGCTCTGGGCTTCTTCCTGGCCCTGTGCTCAGGGGACCATAGGTGGTACCAGAGATGTAACAAAGGCACACACAAAGGCAAGTACCATAGCCACTGTACTGTCTGTCCAGGCCCTCTCTTTGGATTGAGCTGCATCCTGGCCCTGCTTCTCAACACCCCTGGTAGAATTTGGTATGCACACTGAAAAGGGAACTGGGTTAAAACTCTGAGCCTCAGAGCTGGGACAGCGTTTGCTGTGGGTGGGAAGGCAGCCTTTGGACACAAACGGAAATGGGAAAGACTTGGAACTTGTTCCAGAAGCTTCCCTGCCCTGTTTACCTGGCTCAGCGTGCTCACTCGGGCTTCCACCTGCCGCAGGCCAGCCGCCTGCAGGTCCAACATGCGCAGTGTGTGCCCAGCCAGGTTGCCCACCTGGTAGGCCACGCTGGCCAGCGCCTGGGTGGTGAAGGCCATGGTCTCCTCCAGTGCCTTGCGCTTGTCTGCAGCCTGCAAAACACACAGCCCGGCCTGAGTGGTGTCTCCCAGAGAGCCCTGGGGTGGGGGTGGGTGTGAAAGAAGTGGTCCCCCTTTGGTGCTGGAGGAAAAGGGACCCCTCCACAAATGTTTGGGCCAAGCAGTGGGATATAAGGAGTCTAAAGGGTCAATGGTAGGAAGGAAAGAAGGCAATGCCCACCGGATTCCCCAAATTCAAAAGCAGTTGACCAACCTCAGGCCCCAATCCCAACTCCAGTGGGGTTTTTGGGGGTGGGGGAGCTGTGAATTGGGCCTGAAACAGCAACCCAGGTGGCTCTTTTGTCTCTGGCTTCAGTCAGCAGGTTGGTGTTTGGGAATCGATAATCGTGTCCATTTCATGGACAAGGAAACTGAGGCCCAGAGAGAACTGACTTCATGTGTTAACTCATCCCTCCAATAGTTTGCCAGGAGACACACAGAATCAAACCCAGATTTCTCACTGCAGCATCTGCGGGCCCCAGAGGCATGCTGCTGCCTCAGTTTCCACCCTCCTTCCCACCCTTACCTGGTACCGGCCACCCCCACTTATTTCTTTGCACCAGAGGCCTAGGGGCAATGTTCTAGATCAAGCTAAGATTCTTTCCACCTCAGGACCATGAGCTACACTTCTTTCCAGAATCTTGCTTCTATGGGGAGTATTTAGGGGTGATTCCCAGCTCAGGGCTCAGGACCCACTCCTGGCAGTGCTGGGGACCAAACCCAGAGCACCCACAGCCAAATTATGTGCTCTAGCCTTCTGAGCCATCTCCATGTCCCTAGAATCCTTATTTGCAAGGGGGGGGGGGGGTCCTCCAGGCTGTGCTGAGTGGCTGCTTCTGGCTCAGAGCTCTGATGTTTGGCCTATGGAACTTTCCTCCAGCCCCCAGAAGCCTCTCATTAAGTGTCAGCATCTCAGAGACCCTGTACCTCTGAATGGTGGGAACCTCTGAGTGCGCCCACCCCTGAGTAGTGCCCCCTGCTGGGATCTCCCCAGCCCACTTCAGCCCACTTCTATCGCAACTTGCTCTCTACTCTTTTCTTCAAAGTACTTAGCCCTAGCAGGAGTTTCTTATCCCTTTGCTCATTATCCATCCCTGCCGCCCCCCTCCCCCCGCCTCACTCCCCTTCACACACAGACACTTAAAGGTAAGTGCAATGAGGGTAGGGAGCATGTTCATCTTATTCAGGTCCTACGCTAGAATAACACCCAACATACAGACAACACTTAAAAATATTTAAAGTTGGGGGACGAGGAAATACTATAAACGGTGAGGGTGCATGCTTGGTATATGCCCAACTTGGATTTAATGCTGGCACCACGTGATCTCCCAAGCACTAGCAGGCACAGTGCTGGCCTAGGTCTCCCCGGAACACAGGGCCTGAGCAGCCTTACATCCCAGAACTTCCGGTGAGGCTCCTGGAGCTCCTGAGCCCCACTTGGGAGGATCAGAAGCAAACCAGCCAGCAAAATATGAACCTGGGGGCCAGAGAGAGATAGCCCAACAGGCTTTACATGGGGAAGGCCCAGGTCCCAGCACCAGATGCTCCTCGGCACTACCAAGAGAGATCCCAGAGCACCAAAGTAGGAGCAGCCCCTGAGCACTGCCAGGTATGTTTAAAGTAGTGGGAGAAAATACATCTGGGAGCTAGAGAGATTGCTCAACGTGCAGGAGTACATGCTTTGAATGTGGGAGGCCCAATTGGGATTCCCAGGCCCCTCCCCCCACGGTCCCTGAGCACTGAGCCAGGAGCAGCCTCCAGCACTAAACTGAGACTAGACCCCCAGCGTCCTGGGTGACCTCCCAATCCAAATTAAACACACACACACACACACACACACGCATTTGTGACTTGATTAATGATTTGGATGTGAACCCAAATACTTGCTGGGCATCTTCCTTCCTCATGCCAGGCACTGTGCCAGAGCTGACCAGAGTCACACTGCCAGGCAGTGGTGGAGGGGTGCCCAGAGCTGCAGAGGGAGAAGAGGTTTTGCTCAGCCTCAGGTCCGAGCATGGGGGCGGGGGCCACTCTCCGGTCATCTGGTCCTCCCAGCAGATGGCCTGCATGGCTGTGCTCGTGACTGAGCCTTCCTAGGGCCAGGGTGGGGGCAGGGCCAGGCCCAGGGAGCAGGGAGGCAAGACAGAGGACAGAGGACAGATTCGCACTGAAGTCTTGCTCAGGCCCTCGGACACTCCTCGGGGCGAACAGGTCAGATACTGTTGGAGCCAGAAGCTGAGAGCCGGGACCCTCCGAGCGAGCCTTGCCATGTGGGCGCTAAAGGAGAGACCCAGAACTATGGACAGCCCCTATGGCTCTCCCTTAGGGACTCACCCTTCCTTTCTTTAAAAACATTTGTCTTGGTTTGGGGGTCATACCCAGAGGTGCTCAGGAGACAGTGGGTATCAGGGATTAAACCCATTACCCTGCTTGTAAAATGTCTAGTCCATTGAGCACGCTCTTGTGTTTTGTCTGTCTTAGTCTTATTTGCTCGTTTTACCGGGCTTGGGCCACACACAGCTGTATGCAGGACTCACTCCTGGCAGTGCTCAGCTGTGTGGTACTGCACCTGCACACAGATTGTGCTGTACCTGTTGAACTGTTCATTCTTTTCTTTTTCTCTTTTAATGTAGGGGGATTGCTGTTTATTCAGCCTGTGATTAGACCGATTGAATTGGACATGAACATTTTATTCTTTTTTTTTTCTTATTTTTGGGTCACACCTGGCAATGCTCAGAGGTTACTCCTGGCTCATGCACTCAGGAATTACTCCTGGTGGTGCTTGGGGGACCATATGGGATGCTGGGAATCGAACCCAAGACAGCCAGGTACAAGGCAAATGCTCTACCCGCTGTGCCATCGCTCCAGCCCCCACATTTCATTCTTGTTCTTCGTTTTTAATCTGTGGTGCTGGGGATCATACCCAGGTCTTCATACACGCCAGGTCAGGGCTCTGCTGGCCACTGAGTCACAGCCCCAATCCTGTTTCTCTCATTTGCCTGTATCTCAGCGGTGGAGGTAACCAAGAGCCGTGAAAAGCGGCAGAAACCACCGCAGACCCTTCAAACCAGAGAGGAAGCAGGTCTGGCTCTCAGTCCGGATCTTTTTCAAATGGGGGAGGCCATAGGGACCCAGTGCCAAGCACTTTCTTCTGTTTCGGTCTCCCCCTGGGCTTGTCACTGCCTCTCCTGGGCTGCCCCTCCCTGGACAGGTGTTATGGTCAGCCCCAGCAGGAAGTGTCTTCTCGGGCCTGGCTCCCCCAGGCTAGAGCCTAGACCCCCTCCTGACTCTGGTCTTAACCCAAAATTAAGTCTGAGGGACAAGGGATTCCATGGCGACCACTTCCTCTTCATGCAAATCAGCCCATGTGCAGACTCCCCAGGCCCTGACAGAGGGCACCTCGGGGACCCCAGCCTGCCCTCCCCCACACCCCCTGAGTTTCCTGACACCTGCTTGGGGTGAAGCGGGTGGGGTGGGGAGGGAAGGCGAGTGTGGGAACCAAGCCTTATTTAGAAGTTCTCACGAGTGTTTAGACCTCTGTTCCCCCAAAGTACTGCTAGCGCTCACCACCAACACGCCCGCCCCCAGGAGTCTGTGGAGAGGCTTCTTGCTGCCCTGGGTGTCAGGGCTGCTGCCCTGCCATGCATAGGCTCCTTAGCTGGATGTGCCTTCCACCCTTCCGCTAAGGAGGTCTTCATCCTCATCCTCATCTGATTTGTTTTTATATATTCTTACGTGGGAGGCCACCCCTGGGATTCCATACATTATTAGAACATTTAACCTGTGCAATCACCACAAAGGAACATGTAAGCATCGGAAGGGAAACCAGCCCTGGGGCTTATGAGATTGCTCAACAACACGCAGGAGTGGCCGATTGGAAATTAGAGTCACAAACCCGGCATGTACAAATGAGGACTCAGCTGAAATGCCCGAGTCACTGGAGGGTGAAAAGACTTGGGTGGCGGGATCGGGGGTCAGGATATGCCTCTCAGAGCCCAGAGAACGAATCACATCCCGTCTCTCTTCCATGGACAAGTTGGTCCCTCAAATCTGCACAGGCAGAAACTGCCCCTGGGGGTAACATTTCTAGATCCTGAGGGAGAGGGGTGGGTTTCCAGAGTTTGGGGTTCAAATCCGGCTTCTGCCAGTTGCTTGGAGACCTTCAAGGGTTTCCAAACCTCTCAGAACCTCAGCCTCCAAGTCAAAGTGGGGATGTCTCCCCAACCAGGGCTGTCTGAAGGCACCTGGCCTGCCTGTCTCTGCTGCTTCCCCACAGGCACCTTTACCCCTGGTGACACTTTCTTTTTTTTAATTTTATTTATCTATTTATTTATTTTTGCTTTTTGGGTCACACCCAGTGATGCACAGGGGTTACTCCTGGCTTTGCACTCAGGAATTACTCCTGGCTGTGCTCGAGGGATGCTGGGAATCAAACCCAGGTCAGCCACGTGCAAGGCAAACATCCTACCCGCTATATTATCACTCCAGCCCAACACTTTCTTTTTCTTTTTTTTTATTTTAAGATATATTTTTTAAAAATTTTTTATTAGTGAGATACCATGAGGTACAGTTGTAGACTTACAAATTTTGTGCTTGGGTTTCAATTATACAATGATCAAGTACCCATCCCTCCACCAGTGCCCATTTTCCACCACCACGGATCCCAGTATCCCTTCCACCCCCTATTCCCCCCTCTGTGGCAGGGCATTCCCTTTTGTTCTCTCTCTCCTTTTGGGTGTTGTGGTTTGCAAAAGAGGCATTGAGTGGCAATCATGTTTGGTCTATAGTCTACTTTCAGCATGCTTCTCCCATCCTGGGAGGATCCTCTCAACACCCTTTATTTGGTGCTCCCTTCTCTATCTGAGCTGCCTTTTCCCCTAGCATGGCCCAACACTTTCTTTTTAAGGTGCAGATAAGGGGCTGGGGGCAAATTAACCATGAGAGAGCCCAGAGGTCAGAGAGGCAGGCAGGTGCCACCGCCAGTCTCCTACATTTCCCAAGCTCTGTGTCCCCACCCCTGCTGCCGTTCCCCGCCTCCTTGAAGGTCTCCAAGCAAGGAGGAGAGAAGGTCCCTTGTCTCACCAGGTGCTCATGAGGGTTAGTGAAATGACATGGGGGAGGGGGAGCTTTCCCCGGTGCCTCTCCCCCTAATCCAGAAATACACCCCCCGGCCCTCCTGTACAGCAGAGACGGTGGTTGAACAGCATCACCACCTTAGTCATTTGCTCCCAGCAGTCCTGGGTCCTTCCCCTGTCCCTGTGCCAGGCCCGAAGCCTGGTCTGTCTGCGTCTCTATTCTCACGGGTCCAGCTCAAATTCTCAGAAAGGTTGGACTGTCCATCTGACATGTCACCCGGAGTCGGCCAGCAGGGAGCTGGGCCTGAAGCAGCGCGTGGGAGGGTTGGTCCAGACAAGCACCTGTCCTAGAGGCTGGACTCTGGCCCCTCAAGAGGGGTAAGGGAGGGGAGGAGGGGTGTCGGGCCTCGGCGGCCCTGCCTACCTGGACGTAGTTGTCCTCACAGTAGTCGGCCACTCGCAGCAGGGAGCTGTGGTTGCCCCGCAGGGCCTCCCGGCCCGTGGGGATCTCGAACTCCTGCAGCTGCTGCAGTTCGGCCATGGTCCCCAGGTCTGGGCTGGCTCCCCGGGGAAGCCGCGGCTTCTGCACCTCCCGCGGCCCTCGATTGGTCGTCTGCTCTTCCCTCCTCCGGCTGCTTCTGGTTTCCTCTAGGGGAGCGACCCAGAGCCGCGCGCTCGCTCCTCCGAGCAGGCATGCCAGTCCCGGGCAAGAGGAAGTCTGTCCCGACGCCCCGCGCCTCTCTGTCCCCTGCTCGGAGGAAGGGGGAAGCTAGGGGCCCCTTTGGGGGCCCAGTCCCCCAATCCCTCCCAGCAGAGGAAGCCAAGGGTTGGCGGCTGTGATTGCTCTCTAGACCGGGAAAGGAAATTGTTGTGGGGGGTGGGAGAAGAGGAGGAAGGGGGCTGGCCTGCTCCGGGGGGTGGGGATGGATTTTCCACTCAGGGAAAGAGAGGAAAGGGCAGAGGGTGGGGGCTTCCTTGGGAAACACAGGGATGAGTCACCGAGGGACGAGGGACAGGAGTGGACGGGTAGGATATGGACATCGTCAGCCGGACTTGGGCGGTGGAGGAGTAACAATGGGAAAGCGCCCATAGCCGCCCAAGGAGTCGGGTTGAATGTAGGAAGAGCTCCAAGAAGCGCACTCTCGCCCGTCTCTGGAAGCTTCCGTGGCTCCGAGAGCTGGCGGACATGCTCCCAGCCTCGATGGACGTAGGGTGCGATGAAACAGGCCCAGGTCAGCAGGAGGCACTCAGAGCCGGGAAGGACTGGGCTCGGAGAAGGTTCCGGTTCCAGATTCACGGGCGGTTTTTAGATGCAGCGGTGAAAGGAGCAGCAAGCAGGTCTCCAGAGGTAGGCGCTGTGCTTCCTACATGAGCAGGACCAGAGGCCCTCCAGGGACCTGGCGGACAGAGCTCAGATTCTTAGATGCCCCAGAACGAAGAGAAAGGGACCTGGATCTTGGAAGGGGAATTCAGCCTCGGCCCTCCTCCTCATCTCTCCTGCCGCACATCCTGGGGAGAACACCGGCTTCCTATCTGAGCAGACTGATCCCCAGTTCTGCTCCTGGATGGGCCTTCCTGGTGGAGCGGGAGCTGGGGGTCTGTGAAGCAGCGTTATCCCCTGCACGGTCCCTCGAGCAGAGAGAAAGATCAGCATGTCCGCCCTGTGCTGGGGACGATGGGGGAAACCCACTCCAAGGGCTTCCGAGGAGGCTGGAGGCAGCAAAATGTGGGCACAGGCATTCAGTCTCTACTGGCCAGCATCATGAACAGGAAAGGTATTTTTCCCGGGGGAAGGAATGACGGTTGAGTAGGGAGAACCTTGACAGTAAAATCAAAGACCTCCATGGGGCCAGGGGCACAAAGATGTCTGGGGCCAGGGGAGTAATGGGGCCCCACCAAGCTGCAGGAAGGGGAGGGGCCATGAACAGGGCCTCAGGGTGAGAACTGGCCAAGAGGAACCATTTGGGGTTCCCTAAGCCAAGGGGGTCACTGGGGAGCAGGGGGCAGGGCAGATGCCTTGGGCCGTGTATCTCTGCTTTGGTGGCACTCTGAGTTTGGCTACTCAGGCCGAAGGATGGACTTAGGACCCTGAGCCTATGATCAGCTTAGGCTGCGAAAGATTTGGGCTTCCCGACCATCTGCTTCATCCAGAGACTTCCAGCAGATAAGGAGCTGGGAGACGCCAACACCATCTTCACGGGGCCGGGGAGAGTGATTTGAAGTGCGTTCTTCTCTGGCAGGTGAGGGGCTGAGGTTGCCCTGGGCTGGGGTGGAATCTTTGAATCAGTGAGTTTAGGCATCGGGAGCCCATGGTAGTGATGCTGCTGCTCTCCCATGGTGGTGATGCTGCTGCTCTCAGTAGCTGGTGAACGGGGACGTGCCGGAGCAGCCAGTGTTGACTAGGGTTCTTTCCTTAGCACAAGGATCATCTAAGATACATACTCTTGGCTGAGGATGTGGCTGAGGGTAGAAGCCGCCTTGCATGCACAAGTCCCTGGGTTCCAACTCTGGGCAATGCACACAAACGCACGCGTGTGCACACACACACACACACACACTCTCATATATGCACACACACGTACACATGCACACACACGTGTATACACATGCACACACACACAAGCATGCAGCATACACAACACTGCATGCACACACACACGCACACAAGCATGCAGTATACACAACACTGCATGCACACACACACACACATACACTATTTTACCCATTTTATAGGTGAGAAAAGAATGACTTAAAGAGGTGTGTGACGTACCTAAGTCCACACCACATGAAAGTGGCAGGGTTGCAATAAATGCTGAAGTGTGGCAGGTTCCAGATCCTCTTCTCTTAACCCCCCAGGGGATGCTCTGGACAGGTCCTGGAGTCAGGATGGAAGATTTCCCATTAAGTGCCTGCCATAGAGGCAGGCAGGGGGTAGGAGCTGGGAGGTGATGGGAGGAAACCTGGGGACACTGGTACTGGGAAATGAACACTGGTGGAGAGATGGGTGTATGACTAAAATCCAATCATGAACAGCTTTGTAATGGTCTATTTCACAGTGATTCAATAAAAAAAGTTTAAAAAAAAAAAAGGTTTCCAACTAGTGGTGGGATCAGTGCTGGAACACTGTGTGTTTAAAACTCGACTACAAGTAACATTCTATATTATGGTGTATTAATTTTTAAAACATTAATTAAAAAAATAAAACAAAATAAAGCAAAAATATCTTGAAACGGTACCCCAAAAAAGTTTTCTTTGTGTATTTCTGCAAAAGAAGAACTTTGCTTCCCAAATCTTCCTCACAGAGATCAACTCCATGCCCTGCTTCCTTTTTCCTTCACAGATAAGCCCTTGTGTGAGGCGAGGTGACTGCCCCTCGCCAGACCTCAGGCAAGGGACGGTGAATAACCGTCCTGACAGAGGGACCTGACAGGGAGGAGGGTAAAGGTTGAGGGGTAGAGGTTGGGGTGGGGGGCGGTGTCCAGAGGAAACTGCCTCCTCAGCTGTGGAATCCTTGCCAGGCCTAGGTTTCTGCAGGCCAGAATGGCCCAGGACCTCAGCGAGAAGGAGCTGCTGAAGATGGAGGTGGAGCAGCTGAAGAAGGAAGTGAGGAACCCAAGAGCTCCGGTGAGGCCACTCCTGTTCCCGGTTCTCCTCAGGTTCCTCAAGGACTTGTGGGAGGAAGTACTGGTGGGCCGGTGGGAGCTTGGCTCTGGGCAGCAGAGGAGCTGCAGACTCGTCTGGGGGTGAACTGAGATGTGGAGACTCTGTGAAGTGCCGAGTAAAGAGCCTGAGGCAGCTGGAAGGCCCCTGCCCCGGCTGGCTGTCCCCAAGCTGGTCAGCCTCTGTGGTCTCGATCCTCACACCTGTGTGTCCCCTTCAACTTTCTCTCCCCAATCTACTGGAACCCGGTGTTTTCTCAAATTATATGGAAACACAAGCAAGAGCTGGAACCTTCCTTTGTAAAAATTTGGGTGTTTTTTTTTTTTAATTTGGTTGATTTTCTTGGGCCGCAGTCAGCAGTACTATTCCCAGCTCTGTGCTCAAGGTTGCTTCCAACTCAGGCTTAGGGAATCACATGGTGCAAGGGATGGAACTGAGGGCTCCTGCATGCTAAGCATGAACTCAGCCATGGAATTATCTCTCTGGCTCTCCCTCCTTTGCTTTCCCACAGATTTGTTTGTTTATTTTGGTTTGCTTTTTGTTGTGGGGGGAGGGGTACACCTGGAGATGCTTAGGGCTTACTCCTGGCTCTGCACTCAGGGATCACTCCTGGTGGACTTAGGGACCATATGGGGTGCCGGGAATTAAGCCCAGGTCATCTGCATGCAAGGCAAATGCCCTACCCGCTGTACTATCGCTCTGGCCCTGTTTTCCCAACAGGTTTCTAAGACTGGAAAGGAAATCAAGGAGTATGTGGAGGCCCAAGCAGGAAATGATCCTCTCCTCAGAGGCATCCCGGAGGACAAGAACCCCTTCAAGGAAAAAGGCGGTTGTGTCATCAGCTGATGGCACCTATCATCTGGGTGGCTGTCCCCCCACTCACCCAGAACCAAATGTCCTGGGACACCCCCAGGGGACCAGTGACTTTTCACCTTCTTGTTGTCACAGGGCGAGGGAGGATCCCTGTACCCTTATGCTGTGAATTAACTCCCCAGTACCTCTACCCAGGCTATCTCCCATTATCTCCTCCAACCACAGGCTTCCTGAGGACCCTTCTGGAATGATGAAGAGAGCTTTCCAGGCTCAGCAGCTAACACCCTGTCTGGTGGCATCTGGAAAGCTTGCCAGAGGGCAGCCCTCAGGAAACGTCCTCCTAGAAACCCTCCTGAGAATAAGAGTTTCCCACACACCCTTCCTGGGAATAAGAATTTCCCTCTTAGTTTGAGCTCAGGGTCAGAGTTGTCAGGGAGGATCCTTTTTCTCTGTCTCATGTTATACCCTTTTGTAGGTATACCCGTTTGTCCTCTTTCTAGTCATTCTAGATGGCCTGATGATGATTAAAGAGTGTCATTTCATGATCAACCAGTCTCTGTCACATAATTGAGTGTCCATTATGGACTGGCATTAGGGGTGATGTAGTGAACAGGACTAACTCGGCTCCTTCTTTCATGGGATTCAGCAGAGAAGACATAAACCAGTCCCCAGTAGATTTGTAAGTGTGGGAAAGGGAAGTGAGGGGTGCTGTTTGGGGGCTGAGAGGCCAGAGAGGAGTGTATGTGTGTGTGGGGGGGGGGGGGCGGGGGGGGAGGGGAGGACTTAAGACTTAGGGAGGGAGAGGGATCAGGTTCTAAAGGAGCTTTCCCTGAGCCTGCAAAGCGCTTTCCTCTTCAATCTCAGGCTCTGAGAAAGCTCTGGAGGCTGCTGGCTTTGATGCACAGAAGAAAGCTGGGATCCTGCTAAGGACTGGGAGGGGAGACGGGCTTCAGTGCTGGAAAACAATTCCCAGGCCCATGAGCAAGGAGGTCACCCTCTGAAAGGGCCCACAGACACGCACCCAACAGAACTTCAGCAGCGCAAGAAAGAGGTCTGGGACAGAGGGGCCACAGGAGGGCCACCTGGCTCAGCCAAGATGGTGGGCACGTTGCATGCCCGGAAGAAGGGCAGGAAAGCCCTCCAGAAAGGTGTGCTATTCCAGGGCTGGGTCCTACAGGGTTCAGTTGTTAATGGGTGGATGGGTGACAAAACTTGCTGAAGGGGCAACATAAACAGAGTTATAGGAGTGGGAGGGGAGAGAGGAGAAAGCACACAGAGAGAGACAGACAGAGTCCAAATGCAACATCACCCAGATTGACATGTTGGGAAATTAACCCTAGATTTGGGGATATGCTGAGTGTGACCTCAAAAGTCCATGGCGGCATGGCTGCTTGAGGGTCAACCAATCAAGAGACATGATCCCTAAAGGGTCAAGAAGGAGCTTTATGGGACCGAGTGATCATACAACAGGAAAAGTGTTTGCTTTGCATGTGGCTGACCTGGGTTTAATCCCTGGCACCCCATATGGTCCCCCACCTTTGCCAGGAATAATTCCTGGGTGCAGAGCCAGGAGTAACCCCTGAGCATCACCAGGTGTGACCCAAAAAAGGAAGAAAAAAAAAGAGCTTTATTAGCAACAAACTGTCCTGTCTTGGAGAACCATCTTGCTGGTCTGCTAGATCAAAGGAAGCTGTTTTAAAAGACAAAAACTGAAAAGTCAATTTTTCATGTGGTCCTCCCCAATGGGACCCAGAGGGATTCTTAGAGACCTGGGACCTGGCAGTATTGGGGTGGGGGTGGGAGGAGCAAATGGTTCCAGGGATGCCAGGCCTGGCTTCTTTCTTCCTCCTCTCCTCCCTTCCCTCCTCCTGTCCTCCCCACCCTTTACACTTCCTTCCTTCCTTCTTTCCTTCTCTGTCTTCCTCCCCCTTCACCCCTGCTGTCTTTTTCTCCCTCAGAAAAAATATCCCACAGGGGTGCAGGAGCGATAATACAGCAGGTAAGGCACCTGCATTTCATGTAGCAGACCCAGGTTGGATCCCCAGGATCCCACATGGTCGCCTGAGCACCATCAGGAGTGATCCCTGAGTGAAGAGCCAGGAGTAACCCTGAGCATCACTAGGTATGGCCCCAAAATTAGAAGAAAAGAAAAGAAAAGAAAAGAAAAGATTGCACAGGGCTGTGGCAGAAAGGCAGGAGCCACAGAGGGGCTGCGGCCACAGAGCTACAGATGAATGTCCGGGGCTACGTCCTCCACTGGGGCAGCGGCCAGTTGCTGGCACTCTGGGTCCAGCCACTGGAGCCAGTCTCTGCTCCTGAGAGGGAGCCTGGGCTGGGCTGCGCAAAGGAGAGGTCAGTCTCCTCTGTTCACCTCCATTCGGGGCCTGGCTTCCCCCAGAGCCTACCCAGCCAGTCAGCTTAGGTGTGGGTACAGCCACTGGCCCCCAACCTCCGCCAGTCATGGCAGAGAGCTCTTTTCCGAAGGACAGGAGATGGCTGAGGAGACTCTTAGCTGCTCTGGGGAGAATCATCATCTTCAGAGCGTCCCAAGAATCTCAGGGACATTCTTTTGATTTTCGAGGGTGGCAAACCTAACAGTGCTCAGGGGTTACTTACGGGTTGGTGCTTGGGGTGGCTCCTGGCATTGCTCAGGGCCCACACGGTGTTGGGGATCAAGACACAGCAGCCCTTTGGGTAGGTCCCTGGACCTCAGGGGAACCCTTGTTTGGTGCCGGGACATCAACATTCCTTCCTGACAGGCCCGGAATTTCTCATCAAAACATTCAAAGGAGGAGAACGGAGACTAGAGCCCAGCTCAGGGGCAGCCCCACTTTCTCCCATAGGTCGCTGGTTCTTCGGTGTGGCTTTCCTTGTGACTCTGGGGGTCAAACCCAGGGCCCCCACACACATGCAAGGCAAACGCTCTGTTGCCGAGCCCTGTCCCAGCACAGAACCTTGAGGTGATTTTGTTTGTGGGACACACCTGGTAGTAGACAGAGCTTCCTCCTGACTCTGCGCTCAAGGATCCCTCCTGGGATGCTCAGGGGGCCTGCCAAGTGCTGATGATGGAACTGGGGTCGGCCATATGTCTTAGCTGCTGTATGCCATCTCTCTCCAGCCCAGACAGAGCTTTGCGTTCTGAGGAGTTGGCTTGCCTTGGTATTTCAGGCCCAGGTCTCATACAGGCCAAGCCTGCGAGCCATGTCTCTGCCCGCACCGTGGGAGGTGCTGAAACCTCATGGTTTCAGCCAGGTAGGACCAGCTCTGGGTGTCATTTGGTTCTGACTAAACACAGATGGCAGCCTTTGGGCAAAAGCTCAACTTTGCAGAGCAGGGAGCCCCCAGTTAGCCCCAGACACACGGACTTGACATCAGGCCAGCCCATCTCTCTGCCCGGTCACCAGCTTCTAGATGATGATCACACAGAAAACTCAACAATCCTGGGGCATTTGCCCTTGTCTCACTTCTTCCTCTTCTTCTTCTTCTCCTTCTTCTTCTTCTTTTTTTTTTTAACTCAGTGTTTCATTTAGAAATAATTTTAGATTTACAGAAGTTACAAAGATAGGACAAAGAGTTCCCATAGCTCTTTCTCCCAGCTCCTCCTGATGTCAACATCTTACATAACCAGGGCACTTCAGAAAAGCCCAGAGGTTCACCTTACTGCCACGCTGTTGAGTGAACTGCAGTTCCGTTTAGATTTTCCCCTCCCAGGATCCACACTGCACTTTGTGTTTTGTTTCCTCATGGCTGAAAAGGGCTTCTTGGTTAGACAGAGGGGCTGAGAGTACCGGGGGACTACAAGACCTCCCATTAGTCCATGAGTCGGGGTCTGGGATGGTGTTGGCAGGGCTGCGCCAGGCAGGGGACAAGGTTCAATTCCTGAATAGGGGCCCATGCCAGAGAGGGCAGCTCTGTCCCCTCCTTCAGTTTCCACTGGGAACCAGCTGGATGCCCCGAGATCTGGGGTGGCAGGAGTGTCTCACCTCGCCACCTTTGCTGCCTCATTGGACAAAGATGGAGCTTTAAGGCAGGGAGGCAGAACTGGCTCACTCATGCATCTGTCATTCCAGATCTCTGACTGCTTTGTTCTGTGAACTCTCCCCAGCCCATGGCATTCTGCTATAGGTTGTTAAAAAAAAGGGGGCGGGGGGAGGGCCAGAGAGAGGAGAGCTAGAACAGGGGTTAAGGCGTTTGCCTCATGCCTGTCTGGTCCCGGCTCATCCTTAGCAGCACTGCCAGGGGTCACTCCAGAGTGAAAAGTCAGGAATAACTCCTGAGCACAGTGAGGTCTGACCAAACATCACCCCCTCAACCCTCCCCCCATACACACACAAACCCCTCAGTCATGACACCTGAATCTGAATGAGCCTGAGACTGTGATTTGTAAGGGCTCACCAGGGTCCTGCTCACATCCTGGAGGGGGTGCTCACTGCGTGCCCCTGCTGGCCCAGGGCTGAGTAGCCCCACCACCAAGGGAGTGGAGGAGAAAGAAGGAAAAGAGGCCGAGTCTCTGACGTGACCGCATGAAGGGGCTCAGGGCTCCTGGTCCTGGATTATCTGGTCAGAACCTTAATCACTTCCCAGGAGCACTAAGTGTCAGGGCCCTCCCTGGGCCAGGGGTTACATGACCTGGGCACCCAGGAAGTGAACTGGGGACATGGCCAAGAACCAAGGAGCTGGATAAGGAGTCAAGAGCCCGAGCGCCCATCCAGAAGTAGTTTTGGGGCCTTGGAGATGCGTGTCTGGGAGATGGAAACCATCAGGGTGAGCGGAGTTTTTCCCTTGGGTGGCTGAGTGGACACTGGTGGCACCCACTAGAAGCCACCCTAGCAGGTGACTGTAAAAGAGTTCGTCCCCTAGGCTCCTCCTCCCTCCTCTGCGTTCTGCTCTTTGAGGGATAGTAGCTGAGACAGCAGAAGCCGGTGTGAGCCCATGTCAGACAGATCCCGCTGAGATAGAGAAAGAGAGAGAGAGAGAGAGAGAGAGAGAGAGAGAGAGAGAGAGAGAGAGAGAACAGAGTCTGAAATCCACAACTTTTGGGAGGAAGAGCTGGGAAAAGGACAGAAGAGGAGAAGAGGGCGGGCCAGAGGAGGCTGCAGGCCAGAGATGGAGAAGTGAAATTCTGATTAGCCTGAGCCCTCACATGATGCCAGGTTGGGAGCTGGAGGAGAGAGGAGTGAAGGCCACGCTCTGGACTCCTGATCTCCCACGCCCGGCTGAATCTCCAGGTCTAAACTCCTGAAGCCTCTTCCTTCCACACCTCCCATGCACCTGCCTCCCACGACAGAACCCTTGGGCTTTGGGGAGAGGGAAAGACAAGCGCTGACGTTAATACAGGCTCAGCTCCGGTGATGCAACTTGAAATCCTCCTAGTGGATCAGGCATCCCCCAATGCACCCCCCGTGGCAGCCACCAGGTCATAGTGGGGCAGTACTGGATCTTATCTGCTAAGTATTGTGGTCCTTCAGCCCGTGGTGACAACTCTGCCTGATCTCAGAGCCTCTAGGAAAGTTCA